TGCTTCTCCCGGGTCAGTGCTCTCTCATTCTTTTGAATCTTTGCAGCTCTGTCCCTGCTGATCTATTAACTCTTAACGGAGCTGCCCCCTTGGGTTAATTTCCCCTTCCCACCAGCTTTTAACTGATTTGTGACCCAACTTAGAGACCCAGCTGTTTAACGAGGTCTTAGCCTGTTTTCTTCCTTTCTCAGAATTTGCAAGGAAAAAACCAAGCCCTTAGAGCGATATGTGCATTTACAAAATAAAGTTCTCAAGCTGGAACAAATTGACATGTATGTACATGAACTTACTACTAAAGGTGTTTCTGGTAAATCCTTACATTCCCCATCCCCCCAAAATGCAGGGATGATCTTAGAAAAGGAAATCCATTCTTGCTTGACCAGGACTGAATGTGTGTCAGACAAGAAGACAAATGAATCTTTTCAATTGCGCTCCTTTCCCACCCCCACCCGCAATGCTCCAGGATTTACTGCGGGCCTTGAAAGTCCACGTGATTGAAGCAGACCCATGTTTCATAGCATCCACAGAGGGAACTGACTCAGCTCATGAATGGCCTTTCCTGGAAGTGATCATGGGGCCTGCCAATTTCCAGTTTCTAGCCTAGGAAACATAGATTATTATCTAGAAAGGAGAGACCATCAATCTCTTATCCTGGATGAGTAACTTATCCCACCCTGATCTTCATTGGTCGTTCACGCTGATGGCATCTCCTGCAAGGCAGATTGACTTCTGCATCTAATGAATCAACTCGTTGAAAACGGAGCATTTTTAACAAAAATAAAAATTGCTCCAGCGTATAACAGTGTGTGTGGCTCCTAACGCAAATTCCCTCCTGGGGTTTTGTAAACATCACTGTTTTAAACTGTGTATTTAGATTAATTAGGATGCACTCCATTTTATTTCTCAATCCCCTCTTCCCTTCTTGCATTTCAAAGGGAATGTTTGTACATTGCAGACCACCCCAGTTGTGTGATTCTGCCTGGCAGGACAACATAATTCCAGATTTTCCCAAAAGATTGCCCCTTGAAACCATCCAATCCACTGGAATGTTTAAGTTTCATTTCCATCTTGCAGTATCTTTTTAAAAGTAAATCGATATCAAATATAAACACAGTTAGAAAATAATGTTTAAAAATCCCACTTTCCCTGAATATGAAGATATGTTTAGTTGGGGATGTTTTCTGTCGGCGGCTGGATTTGCAAAAACCACCAATGGAAACTCTCCTGTAGGTGAGTAATGCAGAGACCAGGTTAGAGATGGCAGGAACTTGCAAACACCAAACAAATACATCCGGGGAACAATTCATGCTTAGCTGGCAAGAACTCCAAAGCTTAGGTTCTGTTGATACAGAAATGTTAATGTAAACCTGACAATTTAAGAAAAGAATAACTCAGTGGGGGAATTCAGCAACACGTGTTCAGCATTCACTAGTTCCATTAGAAAACCTTTAGTAATTACAATAAGGAAGAAATACTGAATAGGTGGCCTCCTGTTTAATTTCTTACATAATCTGTTTCCACTTAAGCTTCCTTTCCTGGAATATCTAAGTAATGTCAGAAGAAGCCCCAGAGCAGCGTTCAACCTAGTGCCACCAGTCCCCACATCCCCCAGCTACACGCAGGGTTACCAGGTCTGACTGCAGAAATGCAAAGAACCACGAGAGAGCAGTAGAGTTCTATGGGAAACCCTCTGCTGCCATCTAGCGGTCATTCCGCATTTCTGCAGTACAAATATGGATACCTTATGACGTAAAGCAGGTTCATTGAAACAATCTATGGTAAACTAGTTTGATTCTGGTTTCAGTAAGCAACGTGATTTATGTGATATGTTAGTTTGTAACATAAATCAAGAGTCGAAAACAGCCCTGGATATTTTGAGTCCCCTTATGGAAATGCAGCAGGTAAAGAATCGGTGTACAAAACATAAACTCTTGCAGAATTGCTTCTGTAGCGCTCATTATATTTTAACATGATGTCTGAAATGGATTGTAATAAATTTCAATTATCAAGGAATAAATGCACATTGTTTGTTTTGGAACTTGGACCTTCTGCTGTCACTTAGGCCTCCAAAGCAACGAATTCATCTGTGGCTTCAGGAGGGTCTGGTGTGCTTCCATCAAGCCTTCTTTCTTCTGCAGAAACCAAGATCACCATGCTGGTGCAAGACCACAAAACGCTATCCATGCGTGTTATCTGGCTTCCTGAGAAAATTAATGTTACACAATAGCCAATCGTCTCTATCATACCTGATGCACGTCTTTGTCAGTTCACCAACACAAGGCTGTTTTATGAACAGCCGTTGTTAATAAGATAATAACAAACAACAATGTAAAAATAATAATAGAATATGCTTTCTGCATTTCATCTGATTGGTTCCCACATCCACTAAAACACTGGCAGATACATTTTGTACATCTGTTCAGCAGACTCGACTGCAAACGTGATTATTGTTTAATAAATGTGTTCTTATTTGCAATGCTAGAAACTATCTAAAGAAGTCAACTGCTCTTCGATTCAAAACAGTGCTATAGCATCTAGGCGCACGTTCCTTTGATGGTCTAGCGCTTGCAAAGGTTCTGAGTGCTACAGAGTTAATTCCCATATAATCAGCAGATTCAGAATGAAATCAAACTGGCTTAGCAAGTGCTATTTTTGTCCCACACATCATTTATTAGCAGGAACATCTCTGTTCAAAGCACTCTGGGGACATAAGCTAATTAAATCTTCATGTTACCCCTGGGGATAAAGCTAATGGCAACTGTCCCTTTTCCAGAGATGGGGAAATGGAGCCCTAGGCGTAAATAGCAGAAGAGAGTTTGCAATCCAGCCTCTAGTACGTGCTAGAATCAGGTCCAGCATGAACGTTAAATGGATTCCCAGGGCCAGAGTGTTTATTCCTTTGGAAAACTTGTCATATGTTTCAACATGGAATATATGAGCTGTGGGGAAGTTGTCTGGAGTCAGATTTGACCTCCATTTTTGAGAGGAGTCTGACTCCCCAACAGCCACCCTGCTCTACATGAGGAACAGAGATCTTCTACGATCAAACCTTCAGCAGCAGCCCCAGCGGAAACAAAAACTGTTATATAATAGCAGGGAACGTCACATTCAAATTGATTACTAATACTCAAGCTATTTGGAGAAGCACGTGCCAACCCCATCTTTGTTGAGAACATACTGTGTTATCAAATATCGCTGTAGTTCCAGAAATCCTTTACCTAAAATCGTTTTTTTAAAAAAAATAAAAAAATAATAATCTGAACCAGATTTGCCCATTTCTAAGCGTTATTGTCAAGAATCCGTAATGTTCAAACTTGTCCTTGGAGAAAAATTAAATGGTAGTATTTTGAAATAATTTCCTACTCTTTCGAATAAGCACAAAGATTCACCCCAAAAATATCTTACAGCCGCATGAGACAAAGGCAAGAGGTATCAGCAAGGAAAGTGATTTGGATTTTCTGCCTAATTACAACCTTATAATGGCTGAATGTGCATTATAATACTGAGTGTGGGACCTATCAAATGAGCAAAGATCACAGTGGTCAACGTGTTGTTTACTTTAGTAAAGTAGTTGGCAATTTAAAGCAATTGTTCTGCAGCCTGTGTTTCCATTAACTCTTGCCAGGACGAAGAGCATCAACTTAACTCAAACACATTCCCAGCGATAGCTGTGAGTTGATGCATTCACACACACACACGCACACCTGTAAAAGCCACCGCTCTACAGCAACCATCCGCTGTATCAGAAGCTACACTGCACTGGCTTGAAAAGGTGGTTTGCTGTTCCACTTTCAGACCAGGCCTTATTTCAGAGAGCAAAGCATTTGCAAACCGCAAATGGATGATCTTGGCAAGCATATGAAACTCAAAGAAAGAAGTCTGGTTTTCAAGACGTTAAAGAGGAAATACACATGTAATGCTAAATTAAAGTATAATTACCACCAAAGGGAATTAATGAGGTGCTCATAGTGCAAGAAGCAGCCATTAGGGGCATCTCTGGGGGGGAGCGGGGAGGGGGATCAGAAAGGTCAAGATGGCAGTAGCAACCTTGCAATTGAAGACTCCCTTTTTCACAGGGAGTGCATGTAGCCGAGTCTTCAGCTGTGTGGTTGCAGCCACCTTCTTGAGTGTTATCCCCCTCCTGCCCGTGAAAGCCCTTGCCAACCCTAATTATTTTTTGACACATTTCTGACACCTGGACCGGGAGGCCTCGCTCAGAGTCACCCATGCCTCAGTCACCTACCATTTGGATTACTGTAAAGCGCTCTACATGGGGCTGCCCTTGAAGACCACCCGGCAGCTGCAACTGGTCCAGAATGCAGTGGCATGCAGAGCTTTGGATGCCCTGCAGCTCACCTGAGTAACACCACTGCTCTGTGAGCTGCACTGGCTCCCAGTTGCTTTCCAGGTGCAATTCAAGGGGCTGGTTATCACCTTTAAAGCCCTCCATGGCACAGGGCCAGGTTACTTGTCAGACCGTCTCTCCCTGAGGGTATCTGCCTGTCCTACTAGGTTAGATAGGGTGGATGCGCTCCAGGTCCCCTCTCTTAAATCTTGTCACCTAATGGGACCTTGGAGATGTGACTTCTTGGTGGCCACTCCAGCCCTTTGGAACAGCCTCCCACCTGAGATCTGAGGGATCCCTACCGTTAGACTTTCAGAAGGCTGTGAAGACCTGGCTCTTCCCCAAGCATTGGGCTAGGATGGGGGTGGAGCTGGGAGGTTGTTTGGTCTAGTGCCTGGGGGGAAGGGTACATGTTTTTAACCATGTTTTTATGCAACACTTTATGAGATAGGTGGCCCTAGTTTTCATCCTAGCGTTTTCCTCACATGTGCAGGATCCAAATCTTACAGATTCTTTAACTTACCTCTGAGACTTTTCTCTTTGAATTAAACCATCACAGAGTTCAGTAATGCCATGCTGAATTATATTATCCTGGGAAACTGAAACAAAGTACTGTTAATGTGGAAAGAATTGCAATCCTGAAAGGGGGCACACCTAGGTTTGCAGTATTTTATTTACAAGTATACATTGAACACAAAGAAACACTGATATTTAAGCCTAGTTAATAGTAGTGTAACAATATGCTTCATCTGGATGATTATTCTAATCCAATTACACTGAAAAATTAATGCCAATAAAATTCTTGGTCATAATATTAAGAAATACAATATATAAATTGAAAATATGATTGCTTAAAATTTGCAAATGGAAGTGAAGCCTTTTTGAGTCAGACTTTAACATAATCGGAAGGGAAAAGTCTCCAATTGAGTGTATATTGTTCAAGTTAACAGAAGAACAAGCGTAGTTTCACTGTGAGGGGAACAGGCAGTTTGCTTCTTTAGATAGAACAACATATTCCCACTTTTCAGCCTTCACTGTGCAATCACATCACCGAGCACGATGATTTCCCTTGTGAAGATGCCCCGTCAATTTTCTCTGCTTCCAAAATTATCCTCCTGAAAACATCCACAGCAGTCTGAAAGAAGGAAACAGAGGGAGATCCGCTAAGAATCCTATGGCCGTCGTACAGAATTCCTTCTTTTATGTTAGAACAATGGTCGAGATGACTGGCTCTTGGTCAGCGTCATCAGGAGATGTATGCGAGGTTCATTACACGCAATGAAAAAATAAGCAGAACATCATCCCAGCTCAGAGAGTGGTCTAGTTTGTGATACAGTTTTTATTCACCTCCCATTGCTCATCTCACTCTAGTAATCCAGGAACTCTGACTTTGCTCACAATAGCCAAGATACAATTACACTCAGCTCCTATACTGGGGATTTCCAAATGCTATGACTAGGACCTTCATCACAGACCAGGCCCAATGTTGCTTACTGAGTGCTGCCTTGGGATACAACCATTTTGTGGCATGGGGGGGCACGGCATCTGTCCTTTGAAAGTCTTAGAGGCCATGGAGATGCTGGTGGAGAATTTAAAGAAATGTAATCCCAGCCTATCTGGAAAGCATCATGCTGAGGAAGCTGTAGTAAGGAATAACCAGGAAGAACTACCAGGAACTACATATTTTCCACCCAAATGCTGGCCTTCTGTAGGTTGATTAGAATAACCTGTCTCTTACTATGCCATTGATTTTCGGTAGCATTTTTTCCCTCCACTGTTTTTAAAACACACACTGAAATTTATTTAAGGTTTGGGACTGCAGAAGAAACAGTTGCACAGAAAATGCGCTAAGAAAAAATACTGGTTCTGGCAAGTAGAATGGCCCAAACTATTGGTGAGAAACCATCTCTCAACATTTTGGAGTTAACCCACTGGCAAATCCAATGTCTGCCTCTTTATATAGCAAGAATTATTTGTCAACAAGGTATAATTTTGAATTGGGCTTGCTTCCAAATTTGTTCCATGGATTCAAGTGATCCCTTAAGCATCTTAAAAACATAATATGACAAGTAATTGAACAGTGTTTCATCTAATGCCAGATGTGCACGGAATCTCCTGCGACATTTTAAAACCTAAAATCAAATTAACATATTCACCATAACAATGCACGTTTCTATATATAAATGTTCCATAAGGAGCTAATTAATTTATTTCTCCTGAATATTATACTTTAGCACAATCCCAAACTGCACTGACAGCTAATCAACAGTTTCTTCCACACAGATTTCAAACCTGCAAGCCACTTTTTCTCTTTAGAAAAAACAAACTCCCAGGAATACCATTTTAATTAAAAGATTCTACTATTTAATCAGGAGTTTAGAAACAAGGAAAGTCTATTCTCATATTAATAAGCAGTGGTTTGATGAGTAAGTTACAAATAGCTGGGCTCACCCACTGGGCTAGGGCATAAACCAGGGTTGGCAAATCACTACTACTGGGTTCAGATATCATATTAATCCAGGTTCAAGCCACATGATTAAGGTTTTATGGGATTTAGTGGAAAACAGCTAATGTTCTTTTTAGTTCACTTGGAGAATGGAAGACTCTCTAATCTGTGCTGACAAACTTCATGACAGTCTTTCATCTTACACTACAGCTTAAATTGCCCTGCTAGTCCATGGAAAATAGTGATTCTCACCCTACCTCCTTTCACTTTTTATAAAACAGTTTTAGGCAATTGGAACCACATGACTGTATTAATTTTCTGATGTCTGCAACAGTTTCACAATAGTCTTGCTGGCTGAAATGGGTAGCATATGGTGACTTGTGACAGTAATAGTCAAAGGCGTGGCAATCTTGAATTTTCACTATGAAGATGGGTCATTAGCAGGTTGCAGGAAGACTGATTTGGAGAATTCCTTTCCCATTTTCCAATACACCCACTCAATTAACTAGCAATTCCGGTTTCAGAAATAATGGAAGAAAAGGGCGAGCACCGAAGTGAATTTAAAAAGAAAAAGAGAGGGAGAGAGGAAGGACAAATGCCAGGACAAAATTCTTATTTAAGCCTGTTTAAAAAATGTTTTCCTTTCTCAAGGGCACTGTAAAAACCAAAACAATGCAGAAAGGATGACAGGTAGCTGTCGACTTACGACCACAATTGAGACTGGAGTTTCAGTTGCTAAGTGATGCAGTCATAAAGCGAGACGTCACGTGACCGCATCGCTCAGCAATGGCAATCCTGGCTCTCCCTGTTGCCATCGTTAAGCGAATTCCACTGGTCATTAGCCGAGGATCCACCCCGATCCAAGCCATTCCTGGATCCCCAAGCCTCTGTAAAGTAAAGGACTGCCTCCTTTTTAAGTCTTCCTACCCGACTATCTCCCCCACAACTCTGCCCTTTTGGATGCCCTGCACCCTGCCTTGTGGGGCAGCAAACAGCCCCAGAACGGCACAGTTCTGGGGCTGCTTGCTATGCTGCAGCTCAGGGGCTGCTTGGCCCTCCTTCCCTTGCTTGCTTGCACAGTGCCCTCCTTTGCTCACTTGCACACACAGCACCCTCCTTTGCTCATTCACACACACCATTGCCCTCCTTCCCTCGCTAACACCCACCAGTGGCCTCTTTCCCAGTTTGTATGCACACATGCACTGTACCCTCCTTCCCTCGCTCAAGAACTCTCCATGGTGTGTGCAAGCAAATGAAGGAGGAAGAAGGGCGCGGTGTGTGTGAGTGAGCAAAGGAGGGCACAGTGCAAGTGAGCAAAGGAAGACCAGGGTGGGTGGGGGAGACTTACCCGAGCGACTTGTGACCTCCCCTGTGAGCTTCCCCATTGACTGCTTGTGGGAAGCCGGCAGGGAAGGCTGCAAATGGCAATCATGTGATTATGGGGTGCTCGGCAACCAGTCATAAGTGCAAATGGGTTGCCAAGCATCCAGATTGCAATCATGTGAATTTGGTGGGTGCTACAGCAGCCATAACTTCGGGGACCAGTCTTAAGTCCATTTTTTCAGCACTTACTGTAGCTTCAAACTGAATGAATAGTCATAACTCGAGGACTACCTGTAAAATGATTTACAGCATACATATTTCTAAATGGGTGATTTTCTGTGTATATTCTAGCTAAATGTCTAATGTAGGATAGCATCAAGTTATGAATGCAACCAAAAAAGTGTATTTATGACAGTCAAGAATGCTGCTGCAAAAAATAGAAAAACAGTAATTAACTACATGGAACATAAACATTATTGAAACATATGGCATATATTCACTTCTAATATAAATGAAAATAGAAGCAAAATGACTCCCATGAGGACAAAATAAGGCACAAAATTGTTTTACTTTCTGGAGCATCCATAAATTACTTGACTGGATTGCTGTGCAAAACTGAATGAGGTTGAAAGCTGCTGTGCTGTTGCTACCCAGAGGTGTTGACACAAGTTTTAATAATAATAATAATAATAATAATAATAATAATAATAATAATAATAACCATAATAATATTTTTACAGGCCCTTGAGCTTCTTCCCTCTCTCTTTTGCTCAATTTCAAAAAACAGGATTTAAAATATATTTGTTACCTGGTTTTCTTTAGCAGAAGATTCCAAGAAAGCCGCATTCCAGGATTCTGCTAAAGCTTTCCCTTCTTCATAGCTGATCACTCTGGAGTGGAGATGGGAGAACACAGCAATTTGTTGCAAAGGACGCATAACAGGGGAAAGACCCAGCCACCCTCCCAAAATTCAATGGCAGTGTGACCCTGAAGTCCTGGTGTGTTATTTTTGTAGCCTTGAATTATCAACACTGTACAGGAAAAGATCTGTCATTTTCACTAGAGGGATATGCAACCAGCATATTGTTGGGAAGGGTTGGGACTCTATTGTCATACGTATGTAAGGAAATGGATATTCAGGTAGTAGAGTGACATTAAAACTTCACAAATGATCACAACTGTTTGGCAGCAACAACTTAGACACCATCTCCAATTGCGCATTACAACAGTTTCACAAGCAATCTGCTGTGTGTTATTTTGGGAACAGCCAATTGGGCCCACTATGGAAATGCTATGCCCTTCAAAGGGTGCTGTGCTGAGCACCTGAGAGAGGATCATTATTTGGGGAGTCTTTCTTCTAAAAGACTGTTCGAGGAAGTGAGGTAGCAACAGAAGAATTGGTCTGTTATCATGATTAGGAGTTCTGGCTCAATTGTTTTTATTTTTAAATAAATGCATTCATGCATGCTTTGACGGTAAGTAGCTTTTTCAGCTAGCACAACTTTCCCAGATGTGGTGATCTCCAGAGTTATTGGACAACTCCTATGGAATCCAACAAGCCACCAGAAAGAAGTTATGGGAGCTGCAACCCAACACGTTTGGGTAGTGTCAGTTTAGAGAAAGCAACTGGGGCAGGGAGGAACCTCTGTGGCTATATTGTTGCAATGCACATTATCAATGAAATGAAGAAGCATTACATGCACTCAATGACAGCCAAATTATTCAGGTCATCGCTAGCATCCTGAATAGCCACAAAACTGGCCAGAATTCTCAATACAGCAGTAGCGGTAGAGGTAGTAATAGCAGCAGTGGTCTTGGCGCTATAAGGATAACATGAATAAGAAGGAACGCAAAGAACATTTTCAAGTGTAATTGCAATGCATGAAATGATGTGCCAGGGAAAACCTCAAGTTCACTAAAACACGCAGAGAAAAAGAAGCAAAAGGCAGTAAACGCTGCCAAAAGAGTGAAATAAAACCTCAGAATAATTTGTCTGATTAAATACGGCTACCAATGTACTACTGTCCCAGACCTATCCCTAATTAAGTTTTAGCGTTATGAAAAATATTCTTCATTTTCACAACAGTTGTACATTTCTACCTACTTGCCCCACAGAGAGCATGAGTGTGCACAAACATGTATGCCACGTGGATTCCTTGCAGGACCAGAAAGCAAATTAAGGATTTAGGAAACAACAGATTTCCTACATATCCCACAAAGATCACTGGGTGAACCTGAACCTCTGATGTCTTCTTAATCTAACCAGCTACATAGGGAGGCTGTGAGACTGAACCTGAATAACCCTAAGACCCTTGGAAAAAGTGATAAATGTGGGATAAATATAGCACGTCCTTGGCGGCCTTCAGCTAAATAGGTCATTGACTGGCCAGTGATACAGGCTTAGCTGGGTTTACAAGCATAGGCAAATAAAGGCCAGAAAAAAGAATGAGATGAACGTTTTGTCTCTGAGGTAATATATCAGAGGGGGAAAAAAACATTTACAAGAATATTTCATGGAGTGTAACTGCCCTGACTCTTTAAATACTGCACCACATTTTAAGTTTAACAGGATTGCAGCAGAACCTTCATCGCTTTAAGGGAAATATTCAGTACCGTTCCATATGCAGGTCTTTCTTATTTCCAACCAACATAATGGGAATCCTGTGGAAGAAAAGACATACAACTCCTGTCAGAATTGAAGTGACTGCATGGAGAGTAATATGAAAATGAATAAACGAAACACGGAATGAAATGACTGCGTTGCTACTTACTGGACTTTCCCCACCATATCCAGTAACTTGCCATGGATAACTTTAATCACTTCAAAACTGCAAAATAAAAGGATGACATCATATCCAACAACCAAAGTTGCACTCCTAGCATTTCTACCCAGTCTAGAAATAGTTCTAAACAGATCAAATGACTCTATTAAACTCTTAGGGTGTCCATTTGCCTGGAAATAAATGTGCAAAAGAAGGGTGGTGTTTCTCTACTGTTCCACTTTCTCTCAGAACATTCCGTCTTTCCAGATGGCCAACTGAAACCTTCCAGGGTGACCGGGTCATTTCTGGAAGTGGGTCATCAGGAACAGGAAAAGGTTTGGTGATCCAGAGGTCCAGCCCCAAACCAGACTGGGAAAAAATTGGTCCATTTGGCACATGATCAGTGAAAATTTGCCAGTGATAACACTCTCATATAGGTACATTTGTAAATGATCAATTACTCTTTAACCCAGTTTATCCAAGGCAAGAAATGTTAGCTGGGCTGTGTATGAATTTGATTTTTTTAAATTGTTAAATCTCATAACAACTAAATACAATGTCTGCACATTCAAAATAAAGGGGCTGTTCTAGATGAATATTATTATTGTTCTTAAAATTTATATGCCGCCCAACTCCCGGCAAGTCTGGCTTTACCCACTGTTAAAAACATTTAAAAAGTTTAAAAACCAGCAACAATACAACAAACACAAAAACAAACAAAATGGCAAAGAAAACAAACCCAGACAGGAACAAGGGAAAGGAAGAAGAGAGTAATAATGCCAAGATGTAGCACGTCTCTATTTCAGAACTAGCAACTAGAAGACAGTGTACTGTCTGTACTGGGGAATAAGTAACTTGGCGTCTATGGGTGCTAAGAAACAAAAAAGAAATGGTCAAGTCTTACAAGAACCAGGCTCTGTCACGTGACCTTATGAGATTTCAGTCATTTTTAATTTAAAATGTTAGTACGTTTTATACATGTTTCTTAAGATTTTCAGAAAATACAGAAATTTTAAAAACCAGGTTTCTCTCATTTTCTAATTGGCTGCACAACGAGATGATGGTGCGTGCCCCCGAAGAGGCTGGGCATCCTTGGAGTTGGAAAGCCAGTGGCTTGCTAGCGAACAGCAGGCCGAGGCAGGAGTGGTGATCCCAAGCCCTAGCAAGGTCAGGTGGGGAGAGAACATATCTCAATATACGCTTGGCCGCTTAAGCCAAGGGCAGGCATTGTGGGGCCAAACATCCTTATGAAGCTAATCTTTGAAATCAATAAACAGATCTGCGAGAGCCACCACAGTAGGTAGTCTAAAGAAAGAAAAGGCTTTAGTGGAAAAAAGGTCACTGACACACAGAAGTCTCTCAAAAGTTTGCAGTGTATTAATTCGGAAACTAAAGATTACAGCATCACCACTTTTATAAAGGCTCAAACTAGCTGCAATACCAGAAGCCTATTTTAAACTTTTTTTTTTTTTTAAACAAAAGCAAAAGATTTTCTATCCCCTGCAGCCAAGAACACACACATATGAGAAAGTGATAATTGAGTCCCATCAGATGAGGCACAATTCAAGCAAAGGAAATTTCCAGTGTGGGCAAATGCCTTGATACCAGTTCAGAAGCTGAGGTTATTCGGTCCGTTAACATTTTGTTCTCTGCTGCCCTGGACAGCGTGTCCCGTGCCAGTATCCCCAATAAGGAGGTCTGACTGAGTCTTAACTGCACTGCAAGTGAATGAAGTCTGCCTGCCTCCTTTTATATAGACAACCAGGCAGCTGTAGGTTGGAAATGCCCCAGTATAATCTTATATACATGAATGAACTGAAGGCAAAAAGCTTTATATCCAGAGCAATGGGATTTAGCGTCTCAAATTTTAACTGTCTTGAGAAAGGTTTCTCCTTCAGGCGGCAAAAAGAATAAATGCCAACTTAGGGGAGAATCAATTACCCCTTCCCTACTTGGTGCAAAGTGTAAGAAACAGGCCAGTAAGTTCCATTTTAAATGCCTGCACAATCATCGGATATTACTTGTTCCATCGTTTAATTTCTAAAATATATGGTATTTAAGATCATGGATAACCTCCAGACAACTCAGAACTCATGCACATGCAGTTTAGAAGAGCCTGCATTTTGACTATGAAGATCTCAGACTCCCATACTTCAAACATAAACAGTACTGTCAGTATTGTCCAAACTTGGCCACTTTAAGATGAGTGGACTTCAACTCCCAGAATTCCCCAGCCAGCCATGGAATTCTGGGAGATGAAGTCCACTCATCTTAAAGTGGCCAAGTTTGGACAACACTGAGTACTGTTAATCTGATTTGGTACATCAAAAATAGCAAAGCTGATATTACTGACTGAAAATAATTAAATCACTGAAGTGATTGTACTAACGATCTTTACTCAACTTATATCCTATCTTTATCATAAGTAGGTTTGAACAACTATTACTAATAGAATTAAACATATACACTAGAGAGCATAGGTATTGCTCTGATCACATATTTTTTCCCTGTAGCTAAATAGTGATAAAACTGGCTTCTTGATGGAAAGGCAGAGGATTATTGTTCCATGAAATACAATTCAGCTCTTCTTCGATTTCGGTTTCTTAGCCTTCCAGTGTCATATTCCTGTAAAGAGTAACTCAGTGCTGTACTTTTACAGTATTTATTTTAGCTCATGTGCTATGACTCCCCAGTGCAAGCTTATACAGCCAACAACAGCCTATAAAACAGGCATATTTTTGTGGAAAGATTGAAGCATAGATTGAAACAGCTCAAAATTAGGCAACAAAGATAGGAGTATAATTTACCTTTTTATTGATGTGACAGAATAAACAAGAATATAGCCATTAATGTCTATGGAATATGTCTGAGGAAATATGGAATATTCATCCTGTTGGAAGATAAAGCTTCATTTTAAAGTTCTGTAGCCACACACACTTATTGGTAATACCTCCTTTGACATGTAAGATTAAACACAATCATCACGTCACTGAAACACCATACATGAATGTACATGAACCGACATCTTTTCATAGCTCTTACACTCTCGGAATTCCATGCATAGCTGAAAAATTTCAATGCCTGTGCAAAGGTCAGCAAGAACTCCGTTGAAAATACAAGGCATAAAAGTGGCATTTATTGAGACAGCATGTACACATACTTATTTCAAGTTTATAACCAACAATTTTAATGAAATACTAAAGTGGAATGTAGTAATACTTAGCTTTAAATTTTTAAGTTGTTGTATTAAAGTTCAATACCACGAAGACTATTAAAATAAATGATTATGTTACTAGATCTACATTTTATCAATTTTTAAATTTTGCATTGTTCAGAATGCAAAATCAGATAAACCATTTCAGTAACTTTATACATGCTCAATTGCATTATAAAGATTAAAAAAAAAAAACCTTCAGACTTCAGTTTATAGCAAACAGTAAGTCACTGCCAGAATGGACACACATAGTACTGTACAAAAGCTTTGCTCAAACAATAGTCTAAGTTCTAAAGATCTAAAGCTTAATCCTGCTGTTTATTATGATACATTTCCAAAATATAAGGTCACTCTATTTTGGTTGCCTTACTAACCAGTCCGAGCATCTTTCAGGGGTGTGGCCATTTACCACAGTATTCCCTTGACTGCCTATTGGGGACAGGCTTTGCCAATAGTACTTTTATTATAAGGTTATGGTAACAGAAACTTGCAAATCTGAGCCCCCCCCCCTTTTATCTTCATGAGAACTATGGAAGATCCTGTGTGAGACATTTCTCAGGTTACAGTTCTGCCCTGGACTTGGGGTTTTTTTTATCTGACCGCAGTCTTGGTAGTGGCTCTTCCTCCTGTTCCTCAAGGCTATTCCTTCTTCCCATTACAAGATCAGACTAGCCCTTTTAGGATTCTAGTGAACTTGGAAGAGTTAAAATGGGGGGGACAGAGCTGAACATGAGGCCCAACTCTTATGTACTCACCTCCCTCCTTCCCAAACTCATATTTAGCGGGGACATCTGAAGAAGCAACGCCCATATGCTTGACTGAACAAAAGCACAGTGCTCCACATGCTCCAGGACTGCATGTGTTCAGATGTTCATGCTAAACAAAGGGAGATCAGGGAATGAAGAGGCAGGAGACAAGAATGGAAAGAGACAGATGGTGGAACCAGCATGTACCAGCCTCCTAACCATTGGGGTCTCCATATTACAATAGTGTGTGTGAAGAAGGCTACACTAAAAAGACTGAACCCATTTTATCATAACCGAGTTCTTCAAGCACATCAACTAATAATCATGCAATTTGAAAATATTAAAACCAGACTAACAGTCAAGATCACATACCTGTCCAGCTGTGTCAACTACCTGAAGATGGTATTCTTGCCCATTTACTGTAATCAGCTTTGTGAATGCTGGACAAATGAGAAAAGGGTGTTTTAATGTTTCAGATGCACAGTTCATTAAAATCATGCATTTGATAAGATACAGCATTAGTATTGATGTAAAACTACCTTAAGTTTCATGAGCAATGTTTTATGTTATTAAACAACTCCCCCAAAAACTTCAGTTATAACACCTCTGAGTTGACTTATTTAATAATGATGGAAAAAACAGACTTCATTAGAATCTGTATACAGGGCAAATACAAAACTAAAACCCAGCTGGACATTAAAAGTTCATTTCTAGTATACATTTCATTTTTGTAAAAATAATATAATTTCCCCAAAATAAACTACATTAAAAAGTTCACAGTGGATACAAACACAATATAAAGGCTTCAACTATCACACTGTACACTATTTCCATCAACGTACACTCAAGAATATAACCTACAATCAAGGGTTTTTTAGCTGCATTTGAGTTCATGCAAGACACTCTCTTTTTTCACAGAGACAGAAAAAGTAACTTTTTTGCAGTCCTTTTGCTCATACGCTATACTCAGAATTTGCAGGCTGCATTGGAATAATTTACGGCCCCCCTTTGCAAGAAGATGTCGGACTTGAGGGCTTTATGGTTCTTCTCAACTAGGAAATTATAAACAATATTTAATAAAGGGTTGACTCAATTATATTTTTAACTGGCTAAAATATACCTTTTTACCTTTACAAAATTAAAATCACATTAAAACTAATATTCTTGTTTCTCATATGAAAATGTGCCTCTTGCCTTGTAATTTTACTCAACGGCATTTAATAGATTGTACTTGATTACACATGAATTTAATTTCCTTAACCAATCAGAATCTTTAAAGTTAATTAAGTTTGGTAGCAGCAGGTTTCTAGACTTGAAATTCCATTCATGAATAGCATCTGCTGTCATTACGGCTGCCTGCCCCAATTTAGTACCCGCAGCTTACATATCCATCATCTAGGAAAATGCTTAGCACATGAATGCAGATTGTTCTAGTAGATGGAAGACAAAAAATGCAGCTTGCAGGATTTGAATACAAGTCTGACAGTGAATGCCTGTTGAAGCCAGTATTTTGTTATTCTAAATCAATCTCTGTTTTATAAAAAAATATGTTGAAATTATCTGCATATTCTACCTTTTATTTTTTCTTTTTATTAGTTTTTTCTTTTTGTTAAATAATTTTATTAAGAATTATAAATGAAAAGATTAAAAGCCAATACAAACTACAAACAGGAAAAAAAATACCAAAGAAAAAGAAGGGGGGGAGTGTGGTTCAGGAAAAAGAAAAAAGGAGAAAAAGAAAAAGAAAAAAGAAGTAACACCCCCCTTCATCCCAGCAAGTAGGAACAATTTTAATAGCTTATCACCTTCTCTAAACACAGCTTAATCTCTCTTCTCCCCATAGCTCATCTTTTATTTTTTTTCTATTGCAATCCAACTCATTCCAAATATCAGTCAAATCATTAGATATTCTATCAAGCAGCAATAGGAAATGGATAAAAATTCAAAATCTCCAGAGTTGAGAAACGTAAACACCATGTTAAATATTTATTGCTGAAGAATTAGCTACAATACCAAGGCCATAGTTCTGAAGACCTTTGTACAGAGAAGGTCCTGCTGCAAGTGCTAACTTTAATCAAACCAGGATCATTGGGGAATTTTTCTACCAAGATCTCAGAAGCTTCCAGGCAGAGAGGATCATAATGCATTAGATACAGTACTGTACTTTGCAACAGACCTCAAATCAAGTTCACATTCCAAATTTTGAAGCATACAGTAATTACAAAACGGAATTTTTAAACTACCAAACTGAAACTTGTGTATTTCATGATATACATCCAGAATGAAGTCTCAAATATGAATATATTTTGATTACAGCCAAACTAGATTTGCTGCACTAGACAACTACAGAACTTTATAAGTTCCAGACTTGTTTTATAACCCTAAAGGGATCTTTGTTGTAGTACAATGAGATTTCGCTTTGGTTACTTCTGAACATATATAGGATTCACAGCCAACAATCATATTTGCAAATGTTTCAAATCTGAAACCAAGGAGGGAGGGAAGAAAACAGAAAAATACAAAGATTGACCTGGTTCTCTAAAATTACAACAATTAATATTTTACAGCCCAACACATTGTAGAACTCATACTTCTCATCTATAATGGAGTGTTAAATATGAGAAACAGCGTTCACATTTATATTTTTGAAACAAGGTTAAATAACCTTCAGAAATGTAATTGAAACTATAAGGTATAGTATTGTCCATGTGTGTACTGTACACACATATATAGTGTAATATATATGGGTGTGTGTGTGCATGTGTATATACAGGGTATACCAAAAGTCAGGCCCCACAGATAATTTATTATATGAATTACATTAAACATTCAGATTGGTTGTTATTTGTTTCTAAACACTTCCCTACTCGTTTGACACATGACCTTTGAACGTTCCTAAGGACAACAACAACATTTTTCAGGGAAATGAATGAATAAACGTATTGTGATTGGCCTATGGGGCCTGACGTTTGGTACACCCTGCTTGTGTGCGTACGTGTTTGTTGATAAGTGTGAATAGATAGTCTAGAACCAAATGATATATATTGGCATTTAATAAGAACATCTTCAGATACCCTTTTGAAGGGAGACAAAGTACCTTAGATGTATACAAACAAACTGCCATCCAGGTTTCCCTATCGTATTTAGCAATATAAAATTATAGCATATTTGTGATGTACAATTTTGGCCAAGACAGGTTAAAATTGAACATACAGTGTTAAAACTGAACTTGAACAACAATATTCTGAAAGAAGAAATAGAAACAATAGAAAATGTATTTTAATTCTAGGAGTTCTGTAATTAACTGAGCACCGATCTGGTTTACTTTATGTACGGATTAAATTTTAACAATATCACTATAAAATTCAAGAATATATATATATATTCACAGACTCTTATACATGCATTTAAGAAAGGCACTAAAGCTTGATTTAACTCTTAGACCCAATTGGTATTTAATTAGGGAATATCCAGAAGTTAACACTACAGGTCATTCAAGAAAGTAATGTATGTTTGTAATTTTAAGAAACAATATGATGTCTGAAATGGAAGAAAAAAAGAACACATAATATTTGGGAAGTGCTAAATCAGTAAAAATCTAGAGGTGGCTCCTAGGAAGGGCCTTCTCCAATTAAAAGGCTGCCAAGATAGGTTGGGACTGCTGGCTGGGGAGGATGGGTTTAAATGGCCCATACCTAGAAGGCAAAAAGACTGTTCTAGAAAAATACTGCAGCAACATGAGAGCAGTGTTTTTCTTGTAGCTGCATGTTTTATTTTTAAGGAATAAGAACAATGATTAAATGCTACAAAGTTAGCTATGTAAGAAATATTAATACAATATTTTTCATTTCTGTCTTCACTTGATAGCCAAATGTTTTAGGGGAAAGTTAAATGCAAACTGTTGTAAGTTCTGGTGTGGGTCTTCCGGGCTGTGTGGCCGTGTTCTTGAAGTTTTGTTT